CCCAAGCCGTTTCCCCCCCCCCCCCCCCTTTTTTTTTTTTTTGATTGACCAAAGGAGTCAGTCCATCAACACTCCTGTTCCGTGAGAACCCAAAAAAAAAAAAAAAACACCATCCAAACTCCAATTTACCATTCCGATTGAACCTCGCCAAGTCCAAGCCTAGCTCAGCATAGAGTGTGTTCGGATACCCTTGGGACCGAGCTCGCTACGCGACCATCAGTATACGCTGCAAAAATAGACCGGGAGGACAGAACAGAAAGAGTCAACTGGTTGGAATGGGGTACGTACTTGTAGTCTACTCTGCTCAGGCTCATCAACCGCTGCGCCTCGATACTCTGCGCGTCCATATTAGAGTGCAAACTAAAGGCGATTCGCGCAGCGACCTGCGCGCCGAGAAACATGGCCTCCTCGAAGCCGTTTTTGGTCCACTCGGCCAAGTATCCCGGCAAATTGGCCGTCTTGATACTCGTGGGTGTCTGGCTGTGGAAGTGATGGCCCGCGGGACCGGCGGCGTCGGAGCCGGCGGCGGGGGTAGCGGCCGCTCCTGTGCCGCCGGCCGCTCCGATGCCCAAGGTGCTGGCCGTGGTGGCAGCCTGGAGAAGGGGGTTCACGCCGCTCGTGGAAAGCTGGTGTGGGACGCCGGTGAATGAACCTGTGGGCGTCTGGGATCCCGTGCCTGAAGGAGTGGCCATGTTGGAGGGCAGCTCGGAGGTGAACATGGTTGCGGTGGAAGGGGAGATGAGATGACGGGCGTTGAGGGTCTGGAGGATGTTCTCCTTGAGACCACGAAGACGGGACCCGTTGCCGACGAAGACGAGGTTGTCCCAGCACTGGGGCCGCATGTACATGTCGTCGATGCCCTGGATGGTGCGGTAGATGGCGGTGACGATGCGGTCAATCTCGTGGCGGTCCGCGAAAGTAAATCGCTCGAGGCCGACTTCGATGTCGCGGCGGACGCGCTTGGGCCTGTACTCTGGGGTGTCGGGGACGGTGTGGTCTGGTTGTGTAGTCTCGGGTTTGGACTCTGCAGCTGCCGGGGCTGGGACTGCTGCGGGCAAGGCGCCGTCACTGGTGAATTCGACCGGTTTGGCTTCGGTTTCTCCGCCATTGGAGGTGGGCGCGGCGCCATCTACAGGGGCAGAGTTGGATTCGCCTTCCTTAGGAGGCTGATGCTCTGGAGCGGGCTTATCGCCTGGCCTGTCTGTTGCGCCGTTTGTACCATTTCGCTTGGGTTCGGGGGGGACCAGCTCCTGGACAATCTCCTCGTAAAAAAAGGTATTGACCTTCCTCTTGGAATTGGGGAGTCGAGCGGGTTTAGCTGGCGCAACATCGGCATCCTGAACCTTTGGTTTCCGGCCGGGCTTTCCCTTCTCCTTTTCTTTCTTGGCTAGGAACTCCTTGGTTTGACCGCTCGTCACAATAGCCGCGACATCCAAAACACCATCATCATCGCCGTTGTTATTGTTGTTTGAGTATTCGTTCTCACCGTTAACATCACCACCCGTGGCAGAAGGCTTGACAGGCTCAGCAGGCTTGCCTGCATCTGCTGCCTGTACCGCGGCGGCCGCTGAGCCACTTGGCACAGCTCCAGCAGGCGCCGAGTCCTTGGGCAGTTCCACGAGTCCCAGCTCGTTGGCAGCATAAGGGAGAACCTCGCAAATGGTGCTCTTCTTCAACTGCTCGGCCATGTCGTGGGTAAAGCTCTTGCCTTTCAACAATTTCATCAATCGTTGCGTGAAGACCTCCCCGCCGCTGATGGGACTATCAGTACCTGGTGATCCCACATCAACGTGATTCACAACTCGTCCATCATGAATTGCCGTCACATCAACCTTTTCGTAGCCGATATCAATAACGGTCATGTTGGGCCACTTGAGACCGTATTGCGTTGCGATGCCGCTGTGGATCATGCAGAGCGCAGGCGTCCGCGTCTTCTCGAAGATGTACTGTGCGATCGCTTCACAATCGGGTCTCGTCCATTGAGGAGAAGACATTAGCATAATGGGGGTGTTGTGGTAGGTCGTCGTGAGCAAGCTGTGAACATGGTCGAGGAAGGCAAGGAAGGCATCCATCTGGACGATACGGCCACCTTGTTTCGGGCATTGTCAGTTTTTCTCTTGTGCAAATTGGGTCTTTTCAACTGCATTTCCAGGTGTTATTTTTTATATAACTGGAATATCTCAGCATACCTTGGATTGGATACGTAGCACCCTTGTCCTCGTCTACATCCTCCACCCACTCCTCCTGCTCGACGCCATTCACAACCTTTGTGCGCTGAAACGTATAGTACGGCCGCCACTCGTCTCCATCTTTGAACATCCTTGTGGGAATACGATGCATCGGAGGCGTCAGTTCGGCACATCCCAGCTGCGCCATGGTTGTCCTGCTGCCAGGACAGATAATCAGGATCTGCTCCTCGCGCCATTTCGCTTGCGAGCTGGACATGTTGGGCAGCGAAATCCGCCTCCGTTTCCGCGGAGTCGCGTGCCGGCTTTATGTAGGAGGTAATTGGTAGCCCCAGCGGTAGCACTCGGCGGGATGTTGGGATGCGTCGCTCGTTTCAAGGCGTGGCTGCATGCGCGCTCAGCGTTGTCGCGAATGCATGGAGAGAGCTGCCGTTGGCGACGAGGCTTGGAGTCTTTGCGCGCCTGCAGCCTTGTGGCGGGTGGGATCTCGATATGTGGCTGGGCTAATTTAGTGTGGCGGTGCCGGTACACTTCACGGCGTCTAATTGATATCATTCACTTTCCAAAGCTCACGAGAGTAGTGATTTGATTGATCTGGGAGCCTTTGATCGATTGCGAAAAAAAGCTGGAGCCTCGTGTGCGGCACATGAGCATTCTTTACTCCGTCGTGAATTATTTGTTTGTTCAACTATTTCTGCCTTGATACCACAAAACTCGCGATCACACTCATCTTAACCGGGATTCTGCTTGCTTGCACAGATCTTGTTTATATCCTGGATTGATAGTAGGTCCTGGAACTACGCGCCATTACAAGACCAGAAGCCCTCACCGACACGCCGTCTCAGCAACTTCTCTTATATTCAACAAATACAACCTAGCAACGAACGTTGAGACAGTTTGTCCGAGCCTGCCTATCCTTAACGCACCCTCCCTTCCCATCATCCGTGAACCAGGGGCCACCAGTGCAATCCCGTCGATCATAAAACTCAACAACAATACCATTCGTATAGCGGAGATCAAAGCCGCCAATGGAAGGCGAGAGAGGCACTTCATTTCTTCCACAGGCCAACGTGCGGCCTCCAACAGGAGTTCCGCCACACCATTCGTTGCGGTAGTAGTATACGTCGACCGCCGAGGAGGCAGCAACAAGGCAGAGGAATGTGAGGCTCTTCATATTGTGAGAGAGAGAGAGAGTGTGTGTGTGTGTGTGTCTTTTCCCTTGTTCAAATTAAAGTACTCAACAAGGGCCGCGAGGTAAAAGCGGGCCTGTCAAATTTCAAGATGTAGTCTCAAAGTTCATGGCGTGAAAACATGTACGCTTTATATACCGTTTCCCGACCGCATATCCACGACAATATGAAGTGCTGTTCGAGCCGCTACCTGAACCAGCTCCGATGCTACCAATACTGACCGAGCGAAAAAGCACCCTTCTTCCCAAATACGAGAATACGAACAACGCCTGCACAGAAGCAAATACAGCTGAGCTTCCAATCGAATCAATGCCAAGAGGAGGGGAAATGCAACGCGCAGTAATGTAAGTTTGGTCTGTAGGCATGTCTGACTCTGCCAGTCACGCAGGCTGCGTAGTAAGACGGGTGAATTCGCTCCGACAAGTTATAACCACAGGGTTTTGTACATGTAGAGGGGGGGGTTGAAAGGAAGATTATTTATATTGACAAGGTCCCTGGCCATGTGGAACTTTGGAGTCGAGATTTTGTATCACGGTTCTTGAGACCATCATCACGCCTAGCCACCCGCTTACGGATTCCCCAGCCCGGAGCCTGGTGGTTCGCCGGAGCTCCACGACGGATAGGGTTGCAGATACGATGGAACATGTTATGGCAGGGAAGAACTAAACATGCTGTAGCTATACGCTACCCAATGCGAGGACAGCTTAGACAACCAGTGACCAGCTGAAAGCCCAAGGGGTAGCATTGCAACCCTGCCGAGACCAATGTAGAAAGAGTTGGAAACTGAGCCTAGCGGAACTTGGTGCTTAAGTTGTTTGCACGTCATGTCAGAAAAGACGATTCCTTAGGACCATCAAAGCCGTTCAAGAGGGTTCGCGTTCGCTGACCAAATGGAGACCACTAAGAATCCTAACGGCTTACAACTTTACACGCAAGCTGAGTTGGCGTGACGATACAATTTCGAAGACACGTCATTCGTTATTAGATAGATGCCACATTATGCCTCTAATTAAACCACCCCTAGAAAACTCCCTTCAGCCTGATTCCATTCCCCATCCATCATGTGGTCGGACGTATCGCTCATCCATTTCACTTCCAAAATTTCCCAATATTGCACAATAAAGGAAGGCATGAAGCTCAAATAACGCCATGAAGCGCAGTCCAAAAGCCCACCACGTACCTCCAGGTAATCGACGCCTGGCAAAAGTGATCCAAACGCCTTGTCCCAAACTATAACAACGAGCTCAATTATGAGACTCGAGCCCATCCCCACAAATAATATACACCTTAATGTCCCCCTACCAATTATGTGTCGATATGAAAGATAAAACAGGTCTGCTTTTTTTCGCAAAGTGTCCCCAAATAGTTCGCCAAGTATAATAGACTGACATCGTCAATTAAAGATTCCTCGTGGTCTCCCAATTCCACTACCCCATTATTTCGGAGTAGTGATGCGTCATAACTTCATGGTGTTCTATATCTCGCTCCTGTTCACCTCTCAGCGGATGTGATAGTAATTCCCGATGCTGCCGAAACTGGCTTTTTAGCTGTCCGGTTTTCTGCATTGTTTTCGACTTCCAATTCTCCCTCTTTCGCAATCTTCTTGGGCGTGTCTTCTTCCGTTGAGTATTCAACCACTGACAATGGTCGTTCAGAATTAGGAGTGGTCAAAGACGACTGATCAATACTCCAACGATCCTCCGTCATACCAGTGTAAATAGAAGAAGTGTGTTTCTTGCTTGTGGTCGAGTCTGAATTGTCCACGGGTGTTTTGATGGACTCGTCATCCTCCGTCGCGCGCTCTTCAATGGAGGCATAGTCTGACTCGGCCTCCTCGAGCTTGGAGGTCAAGTCCTCGGCGTCTGTGTCTGCAGGTAACGGAACATTCTCTGGGATGGTGGATTCTGTGGGGAGAATTTTCTCGACCGACTCCACAATGTCGCTCTTGGCTTCTTCATCTGTATCATCAACGGGAAGACTGCCCGGCATGACCAACTCATTGATGGATGGCGTCGCCTTACTAGCCTCATTTGCTTGGAATTTGTCCGCCAATGTTTCTCCTGGTTCGGCCTTCTTTGATAAGACATTGTCGACGTTATTGCCATCAGTTTGACCGAGATCGGCCGACTTGCTAGATATAATGTGTGCCTGACTTTGTTGGGTTTGATCGTCCTGGACATCCTCCTCGCCACGCAAGTCAGCTTCGCTGAACGCCTGGCGCAGAGGGCTCAGAGCTGTGCCACTTTCATTACCATTGTCGCAGTTCATCGATCTAGAGTTTCTCGCTGGGCTCCTTGTGGGCAGTGGAGGAGGAATTCGCTTGGGAATCGTGACCACGCTGCCCTTTGCTTGGATCATTCGCGAGGCCACCGCCCTAGTCCTGGTGGGTTGCACCTGGGCAACCTCAAATACAACGGGCTCTTCATCGGAATCATCCTCATCATCGGCATCGTTGGTGTCGTATTCTAGTTCGTCCTCGTCATCCTGCATCTGGTTAGTTTCCTCCTTGACTGGGGCCCTGGATGGCTGCTCAGTGTCTCGACTACTGCGAGACGACGGGACAGAAGCCCGAAGCTGGTTCCTTGGGGGGATCGCCGGCTCTCCAGCAGGAAGGGAAAGGTCAATCGAGTGTTCCTGGCTGAGGTGTCTCAATGGTGTGAAATCAACAGCGGTGTAGTCGACTTCATCATCCTCCTTCACCTCCGGGATGCGGTCAATAGAGACACCTTCGTGGCCATCTTCGCTTTGACCCGGGCTCGGTGTAGTTTCTGCTGTGCCACCACCAGTTTGTGTTCCCGCATCCGTCATCTGACTCTTGACGGTGCGGGAAGACAGCACGCTGGCTCGGTTGCTCTTGCTTACAAAGGTGTCGATGCTCTGTCGTCCGAACTTGGAAAGGGTTGGGCTGCGAGGGTTGGAGTTGATTTCGAACTGGTTGCTCGCCGGTCGTAAACGGGTGCCAGCCTCGCGAATCTCAAGACCAGCCATTTCCAGAGCAAGGACGCCAAACGGATCGGGATCATCGGGTTTGGGGCGTCCAAAGGCCGATCGTGGAGACGCTGGTGTAGAGTTGGGGGTAGCAATGACAGCATCGCCGGGGGCGGGCTCGATGGCAGTGTGCTCGACAATTGCCTTGTCATAGTCAGTCCGGCCTTCAGCCATCTTGATGACCTCGAACAATGGCCTAGTTTCCTCAACATGGCGCGCAACATTGCCGGCAAGAATGTCCATTTGGGTCACGTCGACGCCGTAGAAGCGCTCGTTCTCGTTGCCTCGCTCTGTGAGAATGCAGCCCTGCAAATTGACGGCTTGGTGTTGGCCGCGGGCTTTCATGTACGCTAATACTGTGTTATCAAGGTCCTTCCAGTTGAAGTTTGTATGGTCGGCATCCATGGCAACTGAGGGTCCGTTGTTCAATGTCACGTCCTCACCAAGAGTGACGCGGGGCCGAGTGATTGACTCCAAAGCGGTGAGATTGGTCACAACAAGGACACAATCGTAAACGTCGACACCTATTATGAAGCTGAGCGTCGGCGTATGAAGCATAATGCCTGAAGGCGGCGACCACGTCCCATCGGATTTCCTGGCAATAAGAATGCCGGAGCCACCGGACCCCGTCATCCACAGGCCGCTCCTCATACATGTGAAGACGGCGATGCCTGCGGCGTTTTGTATTATGCGCCTGGGTATCTTTTTGGTGATTTTGAGAGGGGACTGAGGCCCCGAGACTGAGGTACGCGCTGAGGTGTCGCCGTCTATCGGAGCAAGATAGCCATCGGCTATTCATTGTCACCATGTTAGCAACTTGCGTAGAGGACCGTCGGTAGCAGGGCAAGGAAAAGACAGTCAAATAGAGACGAAATCACCCGGATTCAAACGCACCACAAAAGGATTTTAAAATGCGGGCTGCCTTTAGGCACTCCATGTCCAGTGTTGAAGGCCAGAAGGCCTCGCGCTGAACCCTGCCGCCATTGCCAGTGCCATTGGCAGCGGCAATATTAATCTGGGCAAGAGACTTGGCGACCGAGGAATTGGAAGTTTTATTAGAATTGCTATTGCGGCCGGCCCAGCCGAAAATCCCGCCTGATTTCGGGGCGGTAGAGGCGGCAGCAGAGCCGGAGGCCGAGTTTCGTTTGTCCCATGAGGGCAGAAGCGATGACATGCGCTGCATATTGGGCGAGAGGGCGACAAGGCCGCCTCTCTGTCGTCACCCGTCGTCCTTCAGGCGATGACCCGACAGAGAGGTCGAGAGTCGAAAGAGGGGCCCAGCAAAGCAGCCTGTTGTTCGACGATTGGGGTGGGAGGGAGGTCGACGATGAGGGAGGAGGATGTCGAGATAAACCAGAGCCAGAAAGTAACGATCGAGTATTGCGCTGGCGAGGCGGAGGAGCACCTGAGCACTTTACATGGAGACACTCATGACCCGGGCGCCCAGGTACTCCGTACTCACTCTTTGATACTCGGGTACATGCAAGGACAGCGTAGCGGGAGAGACCAGTCTGATTCAAACTGGCTCAAAGGGTTGACTGGCATCTGGAGCAATGACTGGACATCGCTGAGGCGGCGCGGGGGCCACTGTGGGCGCTGGGCTATCCACTGAGCCTTGCCACGCACGCTCAAGCATTTTGGCCTGCGGCTTCTCGCATCGATGGATCGCTGTGGGCCCCCAAGCTTCTAAGTTTGAACATTGTAATTGCAAGGGCATGCCTGGCGCGTTTACGGTTGCACAGAATTTACGGAGTACAGCCATCGCATGTCAGCGCGTCATTCAAGGGTCTGGCCAGTTCGAAGTGCTATTTCAGGGACATTGCTCCGTAACGCAGCCTGGCCTAAATGAGCTAGTAGGAGAATCCGGGCGTTTTTTTTTTGTCCCTTCTTCCACAAATATGATTAGAATGCGCGCAGTCGACTTGCCAGCACTCGGCCACCTCCTGTCGGCAAGGCGACATCGAGCCTGTGTGCTAACCCCCGGTCGCGATGTATCAAATTTCGCCTCGCCCAAACAGCCCGAGGAACAGGCGTCAGCCAGCATGCGGCTATCGGGCTTGGGGGCTCGCATTTCAACACCCGACGCTGCAAGCGCATGCTTTTGGCACTGAACCAAGAGCGAAGCCAGCAACTACTGTAACAAACAAACAAACAAACACACACACACACACACATCACAGAGTGCAACAGCCAGTTCGGAAATGTCAGGGGTGTGCCACAGGTGACGTTGGCTTTAGTGTGGTGGCACCGGCCAATTGCTCCAGGGCGATCTGTGCAGCGCAGGGGGCGATCCTGGCACTAGCGCTTCAATGTTGGCCCTTGGCGCGCCTCCGCATATTATATATATATTTTTTTTTCATGTTATCAGTACGGAGTGAGTACGACGCGCAGTCTGTGGCTGAATATGTTTACCCGCCGACAAGTATACACTCATACACTGAATATCTTACAGTATAAAGCGTGATAGTCGCTAGATACGTGATCTGGTTAAATACCTTTTCCCTCCCACTGTACCTGCTTAGAAGTTCTTGGTATGTGGTGGTGCTCAGTCAAGCTGCCAGTGTTTCGTTTCAGTGGCAGTCAGTGAGAGAGGGCGCAGTGGGCGCAGCGGGGCGCAGCAACCGTCCAACCGGTCCTATCAATTGACGGCTACCAGGGTAGCTCGAGCGCGACTTGCGACTTCGTATCGCCCAGCCAGTATCCAGGGACTCTGTGCTGTTGGAAATGCGCCGTACAAAGCTAGGTATCAGATACCTCGGCACCCATAAGGACTCGAGTTACTCCGTACCTGCCTTGTTGTTTCGACTTCGATTGTGCCGCGCCTTCCTGGTCCACTCATTGATTTCAAATGTCAACTGGTTGCCCCGAGGTCACGGAATCCAGGGTCAACTCCACGCCAGCACTTGAGACTTCAGATGGCGTCTTCGAACTGCCTACTAGGTACTAGGTAGTAGTATGCCTCCTGGAGCCAGGCATGTATCGTTCGTTGATTTAACCCACATTATGGCGATTGCTCTTGTTTCCGTCTTCCGTCTTGCGTGCCATTTTCTATTTGCCTCACTCCTTGCTCTTTCTTTATTCACGGCCAGCTTGCTTTTTCCACGTTGCCTGCTCTGGGCCCATCAAGTTCAAAGGACAGGATCTGGTGGACACCGACCCTCCCACGAGTTGAACCTTGAAAGATGGAGCCGTGGAGCTTGGCCCAGCAAAATGCACAGCAGCTCGTCGCTGTCAATCCCCTTCGTTCTACGCACCCAAGCTCCCTGCATCGGATGGTATTACAGACAAACTGAATACTGGAGTACAGTGCTCCGTAATTACCGAGGGCATGCGCCAGCACTATATCCGGTATTATGCAGGTGACCAGGTCCCAGCTCTCGCAATACAATTCAATTGGGCACCATGGCTGCGGAACGACTGTGGAAGCAAGCGTAGCCCAGGAACGACACACCACCACCCTGAGGGGAAACACAAAAGCCAACTGGTTCTGCCAGATGCAGCAACTGAGACCGTACGGGGGAACTCAGACATGGTTTCCTATATTTCTCCGCATCTGCCACGGCCCCCCAATATAGTGTGCTCAACATCAAACGCTCTCCCACCGCCAGGTTTCAAAAGCATCTGCCGATCGGCCAACGCACATATGTGTACTACTCCATATGTACAGTATGTACTCCGTATGTACGGGAACGATAAAGCACCGAGTGTCGTGCATTCTTTTTGTCACGGTGTGTAGAAGGCGTGGCATGGCCGCACGGTTACCGGGTTGCGTGAGCATGAATCACAGTGCAAGCAAGCATTCTTCCCTCTGATAAAACACATTACTGACAAGAATGATCGTCAGAAACACACGGCCACCCTAGTCATCTGCCCATTCACGTCACGACAAGCACCCGAGAACTGGCACGAAATGGGTGGCATTTCCCCCCTTTGTTCGGAATTCTAGCTCCCGTGCAATGCTGCCTGGTTACTGTCGGTCCGTGTCTAGGCCCTGGAATGCATTCACTTCCCGCCGTTGTTTGATAACCCACAGACTCTGAAGCACAGTCGCTAGTCTCGCGCCCCCTTGTCCTGGCGGCAACTCATGTGACCCTGTTTGTTGAGATGTTGAACGAGTTGGCGATACATGATACATATGAGGCTCACACGAGAGAGAAGTAGAAGCAGCAAGACATGTATGTACTTGTAGTCAATTTGGCGTGTCTTGCTGGAGATTGCTTTTTGCGATTGGGATTTATTTAAATTTATTTTGGGGTGGTGGGGGCTCCCGCTACAGGGCCACAGGGGTACTAATTGCTGGCTCCGCTTCTTCAGGCCTATTCCATCTCATACCGCGCGACGTGAAGTTTTGCATGCCGGTATGCATGTATGTACATGTGTACTCCGTACTTCCTACTATCATGTTTGCTCCGTCTATTCTGCAAGAGCGGAATAGCCTTCGTCCATTACACGGAGGTGACGGACTATATACGCACTGGCAGCTACGGTCCCCATCCCACCTGTATGAGGCACCATGGTGACTATCCAGCAGTGGGCAATCGCCCGATGGGTGCGAATCCCAAGGTCGTACAACATTCCGCCTGTGCTTGGGCAGCAAGGCGATTCATCATGGGACGAGGAATGTAGCCAGAAATATCAACAGTCATACCAATCAATAACACCACTGATGCACAGGACCAATGCTTGATTTGCGTTTTCAGCCCATGATCAACCCTACAGTAGTACTCCGTACTTTTGAATGGATCTTTATCTGTATACACGTGGCTGTTGCGGTGGGCGGCTATCACGCTCCATACTATAATTAATGTACTACAGCATAGTAGTGTATACGTCTCGGTGGGCAAATTTATTCTGCTACACACTGTACATTTAATAGCCGTTTCATCTCTACAGCAGGGGCATTGGTCTGCGGGACAGAGCTGATGCTACGCGGAGGGGTTGAATTTGACTTTGCCATCTACCTACTCAAGTAGTAGTTGGCGCGGTCGTAAATGACGATGGGCAAACATAAGGTTTCAACACCACGGATGGCAGTGGCCGTGCGCCCTCTCCACCACAGATCCGGGAAAAGCCACCGGACGGACGAAGGTGTGAGCCAACAGCAGGATTTGTTACGAAAACTGTAGGATTGGCGATTGGCCCCCAAAAGCCATCCAGACGCCGACCTTGCCCAGCCCACCCGATTCTGGTGGCCTTGGCCTTGAAGAACGCGGCCGGCTCTGCTGGCGACGACTTGCTGCGGAATTGCAGCCACCAATTTCCAATCCAAAAAGAAGGGTTCTGTACCAATTACCCAGTCCGTGGCAATACCTCGATTTTCTCGACAAGGACATATACATATATGCAACTGTACAACTTGCAGCCGGCTCCCGGGGAGTAACTATATTCCAGATCAAAACCGGGAGGTGAGAATGGCCAAGGCTTTTTTAACGCTGGATATCCACGATCGAGAGATTGCCTGGGTTCGAACCCCACTTCGTTCATGGCCTTCTTTTCTTGCGTAAAAGGAGCGGCATTTGCTTCTTTTGCCGCCGCAGCGTTTTGGAGTCGACAAGTTCTTGTAGTGTTGGCTTTTACTACAAGTTGTGTGATCTTTGCCATGGCAGAAAAAAAAAATCACCACGCTCACGGTCCCTCATGCCGCAAAAGGTTCTCCCCAAATACGCCAGAGTATTTCTCACCCACAACAAGATGTTACAGATTCGCCTTCTGCTCCTGCAATTCCAAATCCGCCCACTCAAACATGCCCCCACCCTTGTACGTGACGACAGCATCGTACCCGCCGACAAAGCCCCTGCCTGCGCCATCTCTCAACGGCGTATCCACCCTGCCAACAACCTTGAGCACTTTGCTCCCAGATCCTATTACCACGCTCGCCTTGAACTTCCTAGGCATCCTTGTCTGCCTCCCCGGCGAGTCCGTGACAAGCTCGTCGTCCAGAAGCTCAACACGGAGCTCCGTCGTGTACTCCTCATGGACTCTGCCATCCGGAACCGTCCGCACGTGGACAAACTTCGGCGGCGGCATAAACCCATTTCGTACTTCCCCCCACAGGATCTGCTTCCCGTCTGTTAGCTCAACAACGTGGTAGATGAGTAAGTTCGTGGACCTGGCCATTTGGACGTGATCTCGAGTGGCAGCCCCAGGGGCGGCTTTGCACCGCGCGTATTCGACACAACCTGAAATAGGAATCGATTCTCCAGACAGGCTGGCCGTTCCGGAGATGGGGAGACTCAAGTGTTCGTAGAACGGGGTGGCTATGAACCACCCCGCCTGCGGGCTCATGTCAAATTCGAGCCTGCAGTTCCATCCGTGAGTCTTGAAGGCGCCGGTGACTACGGCCTTGTGAGGATTCCCCCAGCGCAGCGGCGTCCCAGAGTCGGAAAACTCGCAGTCCGTGGTGGAGTCGTACCCGCGCGCGAATGGTGGCCCTTGGAAGCGGTGCTTGTCATGACGGCGATGAGACGTTCTGCATCCTGGGCGACTACCTTGGGCCCGCCGGGTGCGATTCAGCGTGGTTGAAAATGGTGAGGTCGACGAGTCCCACCAGGATGAGGACATTGAGGTATCGGTAGGGTTGTGGGAGAAGCGGGATGTAGACGCCGTAATGAGTCCATCCCCATGGTCCTCCGGATGCATGGAGCGATGGACGGATAATGTCCCATGCGTTGAAGGGCTGAGCTGTGCGGGCGGATGCCTCGTCCAGGCTAAATGCTTTTGCAGCCATGGTACGGATGTTAGGGTTGGAAAACTGATATTGGCAGAACCGGTAGGTAGCCGTGTGCCGTTGATGTTGAACATACAGCATACTACTCCGTATTCCGTACATGAGTTTATATCGCGGGCATGGCCCATATCGTGCCGAGGCAGCGTCTGCAACGTCTATAAATGCGTCCGTAACTGGTGCTGACAGGACGCAAGGCCGGTCACGCCCGTCGGCACAGGCATATACTTTAACGCCGGTTGACCATGTGAAGCCTTCGTACAGAGTTTCTCTTTGCTGTACACCGCACGGGCAACGATCCACGTCCCCTCGGCCCAAAACTTCAACTCTGGCTTCTCGCCCCTGCCTCAGCAGATACCTTTCTATCGGTCGAGCAGGCGCCAACCACACATTCTCTGGTACCGCTGGCCCAACATGGATGGCGTCATGATAAAACCAGCACTTTCCGCCGCTCACGAGATCAGTAAACGCCCCCGCTACTCTGACATGTTCCAAGCTCCGCCAGTTTCTCAGCTATCATAGCAAAGACACCTTCCCATGTGTTGGCGTCCGCCCATGCTATGTTGATATCATGGCCAGCTGCGCTCGGCTCTACGTCCTCTCTCGATCGATTGCCCGTCGCTGTCGCTGTCAGTCCCCTCTGAACAAATTATCCCCTTCACATCTACCAGCTCCAACTTCTTCAAAGTGTGACGACGTTGTGCCAGAAACACGGCTAGGTTTGGCAATCCGACTTCGGGCCCAATTACTTCCAGTACCTTGAGTCCCGAAATGTAAACCCCCTCCAGAAATGAAGTACGGGGCCGAACTCGAACCCAGGGGAGGTACTCGAACCGCAACTCTTTCAACTTTGTCTGACGAAGCACTGTGCCCAACCCCGCCTCCACGGACGACTCTGATTTTCGGCCCAGAAGCAGGCTCAATCGCCGTAGCGCCATGAAAAAATCGAATCTAGATCGAACCTCGGCGATTGACAGATGCCCATCCGTGCGACAACACACTCCAAGTTCCGGTTCGCGGCCAGGATACAGCTCGCCATTCGCTCCCAGCATAGGGATGGGTTCCGGGCCCAGCGTATCCAGTCTCGTTTCCGCCTTGCACAATTCTCGCATCACCGCATTCTGTATATCAAACACCTCTCTCTTAGCCATCTGAATCGACACATCAGCACTGAACAACCTACACGCCTCACTGTCCACATCCCACGGACACCGCGTCCACGTCAACGTTACTTCTCTCAAGGACGGCAGCGACCTGAAAGCCTCTACAGCCAAACCCAGCCAGAATTCTCCCAACGCCTTCTTCTTCCGCTGTGTATGGAAGTACTGCTCCCACTTGTCGTGGAGAATCAGCTCGATTAGATAGTGGTGGCTGAAGGAGTCGTGCAGGGTCTTGTATTCATTCAGCCGGGCAAAGTTGAGCGTGACGGAGCGTATTCTCCTCGCACATTCAGGAATCCGTGATAGTTGGATGAGACGAGCGGCGTCTGGTGGCCAAAGGAGGCCGTTGAACTCTTCACGGGCGAGTAGGCTGCGTGTGCGTAATGATATCAGGCGGCACGCGAGACGCGAAGGACTTGAAGTCTTCCAGATTGAGATAGCTAGCAATGCAGCTGAGGAGCTCGATGGGGAGGCGAGCAAGCGGTGTGTGACGGATGGAAGCCTGCTCCAAAAGACACAAGGTAATGATTAGTTTCACAAAAGAGTAACGGCCAGAAATTTAAAAAAAAAAAAAAAAAAACGTATCCCCCTCTAATGATCTTCTCACGACCCCTATTACAGAATGAAACCTCAAAGCTGAGTGAAGTCAAAACACGACTGCGTGGTCCACCTTCCCGCGGAATCGGGACGCCGCTACGGGGTCCGGAGTAGGCAGCGCAATTATCCGCAAGTACGGAGTACAACGCGCCCCCAGCTCCGTACGTACTTCTGAAAGACCCACCTCCGCAGCGCCAGCTACCTATCGCGAACCTCATCCCGACTCAAATTTCACATCCCGCTCGAGTCCTGTACTCGAACCACCACCCCAGCTGCACACCGCGATTATCGTCCCGCTTCGACTTCTAACGTACGGTCAATGATTCGCACCCGCTCCTCGCTTTGACTGCACCTTCCATCGCTAACCATCGCCAGCGCCGCAAGACCATGTATTGACGCCCCCCGCCCCCCGGTCTCCCCTTTCCACCACCAACCGAGTGTTGCATTCCATTTCATCCAACAACAATGCTCAAGTACGTCAACGATGCTGAGTCACTGGTGGCCGCAATTCACCCGCCACTACTACACCCCGTCTAGCATGAGCAGGCATGGGCGACTAACCCCGACGCAGAGCATACAAGAACCTGTCGCCGAAAACGCGAGCTGGTGTCGGTATCGGCCTCATCGCCTGGAGTGTCGTGGGTCTCCATCTCTCTGACCAGGCCGAAAAAAAGCTTGGGTACGAGCCATCGGAAAAGGATAAGGAGGAGCTGTGGAAGTGGGCACCCAAAGTGACAACTGTTGATAAGTCAGATAGCAGGTAATGTCTGGACGGCATTGCACATCTCCTGGGCGCAATCATGTCTGCGGCGTTCAACCTAGATCCCAGCAGGCCATCAATAACTAAATTGGCATACAAGTCGACAACAAATGAATCATCATTCTCCAATTCAGATGAATTACATCGTGGCACGTGGTTGGGCATGGATGTTGGAACAAGACAAATACGAGCGCATTGTCAATACTTTTTTTTTATTCTTCACATCTCATTGGTAATAGGTCAAATATATCGTCACAATCCGTGATCATTGCATCTTTCTACCATATAAACGTATTGCAATAAGCAAAACAAACACTGATTTTCTACATCCGAACCGCCCTTCGTGCAACCTGTCACCATACCAGCGCATAATACCGGACATAGCGCAGCGAAAACGTCATTGATCAGTCCAGGCCATAAAAGTCGTCATAGCCCGCCGGAAAACCACAGAAGCCGACCGACCGCCCTTTCTATCTTGATCGAAGTCTAGTAATGCAGTAACAACTCCCATACCTCAGTCTATCCTTTGCGCAAAGCGAGAAAGAGAGAAGAAAATAACGAGAAAAGATGCAATTTGCAGAGCCGGGTGCCGCCTGTGGAATCAATGACCCAAGGCAGGCGTACAAGCATGTACATGTGAGGGCATCAGGCCGACGCAAACCCAGGCGTCGATATCCCACTTAAAGGGCAAGAAGAAATCCCATGAACAAGAAAACAGAAACCATGAAATGAAGAAATGGGAGGAAAACAATAGAATTCAACGCCTCCAAATGCAACCACCACCCTGAAATGCTTTTAGTTGAGTCATATCATACTGTCCCCAGTCACAAATATGTATTGTGCAAAGGATTCAGTTGTCGACGTCAAGCCGATCCAGAATTGTCCGACTCATGGCGTGGGTAATGGTCTGAATATTCGCGCCAAATCCAAAATATACTCTTTTTCGCCAAACTGTGTGATGGCTTCCTGTACTTCATCCGCCTTTTCTGCGTCAGATTTTTTTGTTGAAAGGGATGCGCTGACACTCTTCAATGCTTCGTATGATGCCCTGTATTGGTCCTCATTGTCCGGCTCCAAGTCGGCAAATCCAGGGTTTAACAAGATATGTCGAGCTATTGCAGGCAAGAACACGCCTTCCTGAGAAACCCGGGCGCCGCTTTCGCAGAGAGCTGTTTGAATTGGTTCATCATCATTCCAGCTTTTCTGTAGTTTATCTAGCGCAGACGAAAGCATGACAAATGTGTGAGGATCCATGCCGTGGTGCACTTCATCAGAGGTTGACGGGTCTATTGATTCACTTGAGCCATCATGTGGTACGATCCAATCAAGAGAAGGAAGCCCATCCCCAGTATGGAGATAGTTCAGACTGCCAACCTTTTGCGAAAGTCGAATTATAGCAATCATGGTTACTCCCAGTATCGTTTTGCCGAGAGAATTCGTACTTCCCGATTTGATTTGCCAGCCACCATCAAGTAGAACTTGACGAACCAAGTGCAACCCTGGTTGTGCAGCTCGACGAGTCCCGTGTGGATTAACTGATTGGGCCAGTTCGTCCCCTTTCAATCCAAGAGCCGAGGCGCAATCGTCAGCGGAGGAGGCATTCCAGGCTGCATCGTCACAAGGTAGAGGCAAATGAACCTCGGATGGATCAAATTGGGCATGGACGTTGAAGTAAAGTTCCAGAAAAGCATCTAACACAAAAATAGCATGCATCAGTCGAATGCGCAGCTCTTGTTCGGTCCAGGCTAGCCAGTCAAATTGATGAGACTTCAAGTCGTATTGACCATCAACCTCGAGGTGATGAAGCAAGGAGTAAATCAGTGGATCACCAGAGACGCCTAGCAAACCCAGGCGACGAGTGTGCGCAGCTACCAAGGGGGCTATTCGTAGAGCCCGATGCCTCTGCTGCGAAGTCCCGTTGGCAAAATGAAGTACACAAGTCAGTAGCACTGCCTGAAGCTCTTCAATAGACGACTCGGTGATTTCAGCAACACCTGCATCATGCAGGCTCTCCTCGGACAAAATTCGACAGTCACGCTCCATAGCAGTCCATAGCGCGTCCATCATTTCTTGCACATCTGAGAGCACAACCCGGTTTGAGTAGCATGCGCCAATGCAGCACATGCACGCCGCCAGTCCGGAGTGTGCCTCCATGACTCGAAAGGTGCTCGGATGAAGTATAGGGACATGCTCGTGGAAGTGCGTGTACTGGTCGACGAAATCTTTAGTATTATCAGGGGAGAAGTAAAGGTTCATGCCCGTGAGGGTTGGGTCAATCGCCTCGTTTGGGGGGTAAAGGAAGTTGAGTATTTGGCTAGAGAGTTGAGAATAAGGGTTTTGAATATTCGTCGGTATGCCCCACATAGAGTAGCGGACGGAATCGCTGGAGCTGCAATCCGTCGCCCCCGAATCGTGATTAGGCCCGGTTTTGGGTGCGATCTGCGTCTGTCCACGATTAGGAGGATGAAAGATATTGTTGTTGAGGGGTTGATGCGCACCAGCCTGGAACATCTGAGACCAATCGAGGCCAGATTGTTGGTTCCCGTTAGATCCACCATACATGGGCATTCCGTTCTGACCCGGGGGCATACTGTAGCTAGGCATCTGTTGGTTGTTCATGGAGTTAGACACATTAGCACCATAGGGCTGCGGGGCTCCCATGCTGGGGGCCATGTTATTCCGGTCCTGGTTGGCGCTGCTGGAACGAGAGAGATGGCTCTGGTCACCGGCCATGTTGTTCATGCCGTCAGAGACGGGAACCATGCCAAAGGGATGAACCATGCCATCAGCGGGCATGTTGTTCAAGCCATTGAGGTGGTTCAAGTCGGCCTCGTTGCCGAGGCCAGCAGCCTTCTGAGCCTGAGCATTCTTTTTAACGTGAGCCTGAGGGTGGGACAGGTGGCTAGCTCCTGTGGGGTTTCCACGGCGAATGGAGCACTTTTGGAAGTGGCGTTTCAAAATGTCACTTCGAGAAAACGTATCACGGCAAAGCACGCACATGTAAGGGCGATCGCCAGTATCTAAATATTCAAGTGGTTAGCATGCGCAAATTGCGCGAAAAGAAACAGTACGAGGGAATAGTGCCAGTTGTCTCCTGGGAGTTTTGAGGCGGGATTCGACTTACGGCGAAGAAGGTGGCGCTTCAAATGCTTTGCATGGAGGTATGTCTTGGTGCAATGAGGGCAAGGGAACTTGCCGTCCGCATCCTTGACGGGAATAACGGTGCTCTTTGCACCAGCCCCGGCAGTGGGAGCTGCAGGACGACCCGGAGCGCTAGGCAAGATTCCACGGCGGCCCTGAGATCCGACAACATGAGTAGGCTGTTCTCCGTCGTGCATGACCGGGTTGGGCTGCATAAGCGATCCAGGGCCGTAGGGAGAAGAGACACCGGGCTGGGCCATAATACCACCGGGTGGCATAGGACGAAGGACTGGAGGTCCACGCCCACCAACGGGAGCAGGAGCAATAGGCTGCGGGTGAGACGCGGCTGTGGTGGTCTGGGGCATCATGGGCGCAGAGGTGCCATATCCTTGGTTAGGAGGATAAGGATTCTGCGCCATTGCATAGATGCCAGGTCGCTGGCCAGGCTGCGATGTCTGCTGATAGGGAGGCACATTCGTGGCCGAGTTTGGCGTGTTGGGAGTGCCCGGCGTGCGCGGGGTATGCGGGTGAGAACCGTAGAGAGGCTGCATGGCTGCGGTTGGAGGCTGCAAAGGCGGCAGCGTCTGAGGAAGTGGTGATCCGGTCTGAAGTTGGTTCGGAGAGATCGCGGTGGGAGAAGGATATGTCTGTGCCGCTGAGGTCCCGTTTATACCATGAGTCGGATAGGGAGAACCGTCCATACTCCAGCGCAAGACGCGTCTCAAGACGTGGGTGGGTGATATGAAGGCACGTCGATGTTGACGAGATGTGAAGAATAGGGCTTGGTGATGATTGAGGCAAACGACAACAGCCGAAAGGACCTCAAGTGGAGAGAGGGATTCGAAAAGAGAGATCCGAATCTAGATGGAGAGAGATCGAGGTGGGAGAAGACGCTGCGAGGCCCACGCGAAGATGACAGTAGGCACAACGGCGGCGTTCCGTTGAGGTGGATGAGGCTCGAGAAGCAAGTCCCTCTTGAGAGGTGGTGTGTTTGGGGGAGGGTTTAGAGTGGAGATATGGGTCTTGATCCTTTTTTATTTTATTTTCTTCCCCCCTTCTTCCCTGACCTAAGCTTCCTGAGAGGGGAGGACACAGTGAGAACTGCCAGGTACAGAAACCGCGCGTAAGAGAGGGTGAGGCAAGCCGGAATGGTGGGAGGCGTGTAATGATGTGGCCAAGGTGACTTGAAAAAAAAAAAAAAAAAACCGAGAGGGTGTGTATGAAAAAAACTTGCTGAGCTAAGTCAAGGTATTGATTGACTTTTTGCTGGTGTGGTGCTGGTATGGTGGACTGCGGCGGAACCGTTGCGATGCTTGTTCGATGGTGGCAAGTGGATCCTTTCAAGAACCGCAAGCAGATAAGGGTGGTGCTGGGTCCAGAAAAAAAAAGACGAAGGCGTAGTTGTTTTATCAGCTTCTGTTTGCGTGTCGCGCCAGTACTCCGCGGGCTCCGCGTTGGAAAACTTGGGCGCGATGCGATTGCAACGAAAAAAAAAAAGGTATTTTACTTGCGCGACGAGGATTGCACAAACGTGTCTGCCTTGAGGGGAGAGATGTAGGAGGAGAGTTTGGGAAAGGGGATTAAGAGGGAGGGAAAGAGAGAAAGAGGGCAGACAACAGAAAACAGCAGCAGTCGGCAAAGATGGACTGGGGGACGTGAGCACCACCAGGACGAGAGGGTGTGTGAGTAAAGCGACCAGCGCCGACGCCAGGCCGCGGCGGAAACGCCAGGGAGAGGGCTTGCAACGGGTACCAGTGACCTGTCGCCTCTCGGTTACGCGTTGGCAAAGTATCCTGGTAACTCGGTACCGGGATACCTGGTTACTTGGGTACCTAGCACAGGTACCTCAACTTTCTATAGTGCAGCACCGCGACGCTACGTACCGAGCGGTTTGCATGCTCTGGCGAGTCGACTGCATGCTTGTGCACTTTTGAGTTGTCCGAATTACTGCGCTTTAGCTGTTCCAGTGCGATGGCCATCAAGATTCCCAAGGTCACGCGCGGCGGTGTTGGAGGACAGGACAGGACCCAGGGCCTCTGAACAGGGAACGGACATGACCTGGAGTAATGTGAACGAACAGTGAATGCGAAGCCTGTTCAAGGCGCTTGCAGCGGAAAAGATCCACTTTAGCCTGCTGGCCGGGCCAAGCGATAGCAATAGCGCACATGTCAGGTATGTACATGGATTGGTACGAGCGAGAATGGGCATTTAATGCTTCCGTATTAGTGAACATTCCCCTTCCACACCAGGCCGACTGCGAGATTCAATGTAAATGTCGATACTAGTCAAGTTCCAAGTCGAACCGTCGGCTCGTTGCAAAGCTGCATGAGTCCCATGCTGTCGCCAGCGGACTTTGGAAATGCAGAAGTTTGAGATTGCCTCGATACCAGGCAGCAGCCATGCCCCTGACCACTGGGTGACCTGTGAATGACGACAACTGGGACAATAAGCTTTGTTAAATTCGCCTCGACCTATGTTCGACAGTCGGCAGTCACTTCTTTGTGCTGCTTAATGATGACTACAATGTCAGCGACTCCAATCAGCTTCGATCCTGTCCCCTGCTCATCCGCCGAATCCGCCATTTGATCCCAGGATACAGCAAAGCAAAGAAAGAACCTTTTTGCTTCCATCCCATCTGGTCGAGTCGCGTATGCTGCCGACATCTGACGGTCAGTTATTTACAATACTACATGATTAGTCTCGCCCTCAGACTTGGCAGCCTTTCGCCAGGTTAACCTGTCTGAGACCTCCTGAGACCTGCTAGGTACATCTCCTCGCATTGATTGATACGACCGGTGCACCTCCAATCCTCAAACTGTCAAAGCGGTCGGGCGAGTACTTCGGATGTAGGTGAGGCCTTACTCGTGGTCACCAATCGCACGATTCGCAACCCTCTGTGCGCGTCTGCCACTGACGCGATGGCTCGTCTATCTCACCACCACCTTGTATCGACCAGTCCGACACGCTAGTCTGTTATTATAAATATATGTGGAAAAAAAAAAAAAAAAAGGCACCACTGCGCCAGTACTAATATAGTGGTATGCGTACTTTGCACTACTTATTCCTATCCGTAGCAAAGCTAGTTGTATCTTGTCATTCGTCCTTTCTCCTAGATGCATCCAGACCGGACGTCATGACGGCCCCAGCGGCGAACGACGGGCACACTGCAGTCTGTTGTTCTCTTTACTACAATTACCCTCTCAAGGCCATGCACTATTCCCAGCTCTAGCCCAGTACTGTACCGCCATAGTAGTCCTCAAGAATGTCACGCAAATGGTGCATTAACAAGGATGCGACGGTAATGCTGCCGATGCTTCAGACCTAGAAGGCGGGAGGGGTGTCCTGCTAATACAGGGAGGTGAATATGAACACTAGAGCCATTGGCGACGGTCGGTTACAATTATCCTTCTCTGGATAAACTATATACCTGGGTGCGCATCATATCGACCATGTTTTTCGTGCTCACCTTGTTCCATGTGACTGTCGAAAATTCCGCTCACCGTGATACTCCATAAACACATACAGTAGCCCAAATAAGTCATACATATTTTATACTGTACGTAGTGTCCATGCCAAGTGCACGGAAAAAGCTGCAAATTGGATATTGCAAGGCCTCTCAGCCACCCGACTAGCCATGCAGCAACACACCAGGCAGGGATGCTGCCCAAAGAACCCAAACCCATGCCAGTTTGGCTCTCTCTTGGAGCCTTTAGTATCATCCATTTGTCCGTTTTTCGTCCACATGTATTGTGCGTTGTTCATGTGCATCTCGGCGACCGAGCTTTTGTTCCTGACAAGTTCCTGCAGGTCCAACATCGTCAGCTTCATGATCGGAAGACGCGCTCGCTACTACTACTGTGAGGTATTGTCTGGCTGCCCAATAATCTGGGACGTTCCCACAGTTCGGGGCGCCGCGTGGTGTATGCCAATACATACATATCTGGATATAGCCTTTTGTTGAACGCTAACTAACCCTCAAAAGTTGGGCATACCTGATTCAATGATTCTTCTGTTCTGCCCCTAGCCACGTCGTGTATTGTATCGAAGACAGCTGCTGAGTCCCTCAGTATCCTTAATTGCTGGTATCTCTCACCTGGGTTTTGCTTCCGCTAGCAAGCTTATTCCCTGTTAATCGTATTTCTCAAGGACCATTCACGACATCGTGGTAATATACATACACACGTAATTATTGAAGGAGACTCTAAATACGACAGACATTAGCTCGCCAATGCATTGTTACCTCATGGCAAGCAGTAGTTTCAGCTGAATCGTCGTACTAGCTCAGGTAGACCACTCTCCAGCCTCTCTGATCTTGCCAACCTCTCCCTGGCTGGCACACTCCTATTGGTTTGCCAAATCTGCGCTAGTAGTTGACGACAAAGTCAGATCTGAAGCCAGCAATCTGTCGACATCATTTCTGGGCCATGCCGAATGTCTTGATAGGATATTGCTTGTGCGCAGTATAGTAGGATACCGTAGCATTGACAGTAGAACTCAGAGAAGTATGATGCATATGCAATCCAACTCCTGAAGCCATGTTGGAATGGGCCCCTCTTCGGACCGTCGTGGGTTTTGGGCCTCCACATGTGCGCCCGGCAAGCCAGGCCGGACCATGAATGCCGAATGGACTGACCAGTGTCGTATTATCTAGAAGGGTTCCATTCAAAGAAAGACGACGCATGCAGTGCCGTAGACTTCCAAGTGGCCGAGGTGCGATAATGCTACTACTAATGCGCATCTATCGGGACTTGTCCTGCCGGTACGGACATCGCTTCCTCTGATACAAGTCGTTTTCAACACTCCGTACGGAGCGCTCCGCCGCTCATACATGACTCTCTCTTTCTGGGCATCACCATAGCACCAAGGCTGTACAGTATACCGCGCCGAGAGCGAGGGAACAGATTCGACGAAGCGCACTCCTTCAGTCCAGCCTGGCATATCAGGTGATGTTGTTTTGGAGCAGCCACCACCAACAGCATCCCTTGCTTCCGCCAACTCACCGCATCGTGAACGGTCTCGGCTTGACAACAAGCCCAACAATAGCACAAGCCAGGCCAGGGTGTGCCAAATTCTGCTTGTCCTCGTGGCGGACATTATGCCGCCAAAGCCTTGGCATTGACCTGGCAGACCCCACTACCCGATCCAGGGACTCTGAATTTTGTCGCGGTTATCCGGGAAGCGCTGCTCGTATGGGGCTGGGGTTGGGGCTGGGGCTGCTTCTGGTCAATTCCTTCACCATGTCAAACCAGCCTTTGGTGCCTGTTGCAAAATGACATATGTAGTGACGGATCTCGGGCATGGCCAACAGAACCGCAATTAAGCGCTGGGAGGGGCTGTGGTAAAGTAGAACGTTGAGTGGCATGGAACGGAACCGACGGGGACTGAGATGATGTGCAGGAGAGGAATATTCGTTGACCAGGATCCACGAGTCAAGCACCGCTCATTTCTGAGGTGGCGGAAAGTGGGGAAGCAAACACCAACGGACACCATTGGCCAGTCTAACCTCCCGAGACCTTGCCCGGTAAAGGGGCGTCTGGTGGGAGACATTTGC